TGTGTGTGTGTGTTCTACATAGGAAACTAAACACAAGTACTCATTATGATGTATGTCCTCTTTCCTTGTTGATGATAATTTACATCATGTGACTTGACTTGCGGAAGAAAGCGATTTTCCCAATGCACGTGCTTTCCTAGGATCTTACAAGAAAACATGTTTTATTACAACTTTCTCGCAATGCATGTGGTTTTCTAGGATCGTATAAGAACACATGTTTTATTACAAATTTCTAGGTTAGAAACACAATGTTGCCAAACTTTTTATGCCCTATCCCAAGCAAAATATTCATATCCAATAGATTGTGGACCGTTCACAAATGTACAAGCACTCACACGTCACCAATATTGTAGCATCATTGTATCAACATACTATGTTGTGAGATCACGTAAGGTTGCAACAATTCACATGGGCTTCTGTTTCGATGATACACACACCAAATGAGAGTAGCGGGACAAAGTTGCCCGGTCCAATTATCTCGATATGCCAAAGCAGTTTTCAGCAGTCATCTTCTCATTGCGAGTAGTCAATATAACTCGTCAACCAATTCTCCGATCAATGACGAGATGATCTCACTCTCCAGATCAGCGGCTAGTAGATTCTTTTCATCTTCTCTGAGGCATCTCCACTGCTCGATGGACGCAATCTCCGTCTTCACCACTGTCCAAATTGGTCTTAATGAACAATTTTGCCCATCCAGCCATGCTTGAGCGGTCTCCAGCAACACCTTTCCTCGGCCTAGATTCCTTGGGGTTTTATCATAGTGAAAGAAATCTACCAAAAGCTTCTGGAAGCAGTGGCTGGACCCTGAGGATCTTGCTTCTAGGAGTTCTAGTATGCCCTGCGCAGATGCATCGTCATTGTCTTCTATGAAATCTGTTTCCAACATGTTGCAGCTCACATCCTCCGTGGTCGTGGTAGCATCGTCCACGTCGGATACGTCTAGCTCGCCTAACTGCTCAAACTGCCGGATTTTTTGAAGCAACTCTTGGCTTGCTCCTACACATCATAAGTATTTAATCAGTAGTTGATGTCGAATGATTTAAAAGATGGTGATTGATATTATGACCTCTGAACTAGCTTGCATTAGAATAAAAAGGGGCACTTATAAACTAACATCTGCTCCATTGGTAATGATCAACAATATATAGATAGATGGTCCATTGTCGCCGGTTCATCTTACAACAAAAACTTGTGAGCACAGAATAGTAGTATGTCAATGGTGAAAACCACATTGGGTGGCAACATGGCATCATTGGCATGGCAAATCACAGCAAAACACAAGATATTGGGTGTACATGGCCCATAACTATTTGCCATTGCTTGTCTGCTAGCTTAATTTTCATATTCTCTGGCTATCCAAAACTTTAGAGAATCCGAGTCTATGTATGCTTCGACCATATTACGGCATAACTTAAAT